GATACTGTTGTACGTAGTCGTTTTTCTCTTCTCGATCATCCCAGACACTTTTTAGATTAACTACTTCATACACAAGGGGTTTCAGTTTTTAATATTTGGGGTTTTAGATTAACTACTTCATACACAAGGGGTTTCAGTTTTTAATATTTGGGAGTTTATTTTCTGCGTAAATAAAGAATGTAGAACCTATTAATCCAAACTTGTGAAATCATTAAAATTTACAAATATGTTCATGTCAAACTCAAATTTCAACTTTTTATTGACTCATACATACGCCCAAACAATTGCAATTTCATTATTATAATCAATACAACATTTTAATCCGTCTTCACCGTCGTTCCTACTTTGTTGTATTTCAAGGTTTAAAATTAGAATATATATACCAACAAAGCTGAATCGTCATTGGTGATGCAGGGGGAGAGGGGGGAATCTAGCCAGCCGAAATATTCAATAAAAAACAAGCCGGAGTATGACAGAAAATCGAGTAAAATATAAGCTAATCAACTACATAAATAAAGCGCATGTAGTATATATATAATGGGCCAAGTTCAAGTTTTGCTGCTGTTACAGTTACAATGGATTCATCAACAAACTCAACAGTTTATCTTTCCTCCTTTCTTTCCATCTTCTTGCCTACTACTTTTGTTCTTGTTCTTATTAAGCTTGTTATTAATAACATTTGGTCGCAGCAGCACAAACCAAATCTACCACCTTCTCCGCCAACACTTCCCATCATTGGAAACTTACACCAACTAGGCACCCACCCTCACCGCTCTCTGCGTGATCTGTCCCAGAAATATGGCCCAATCATGCTTCTGCACATGGGCAGTGTCCCAACCATCGTAGTTTCGTCCGCAGAGATGGCAAGAGAGATCAAGAAAACTCATGATGTTGCTTTCGCCAATAAGCCATTTATGACAGCCAGTGAGCTGCTTTTTTACGGACGGGCTGATATGGCTTTTTCTCCCTACGGCCATTACTGGAGGCAAGTGCGGAAGATCTGCGTTTTGGAACTCTTGAGCCTTAAAAAGGTACAATCCTTTAAATTTATAAGGGAGGAGGAAGTTGCATTAATGATAGAGACTATATCTCACGCGTGTTTGTTGCAACTTCCAATTAATTTAAGTGAGATGTTGCTTACTCTCAACAACAACATAGTCTCAAGATGTGCTATAGGCAGAAAATGTGAAGGGGTATTAGAAGATGGTACTGATAAAAACTTTGGGGAACTGTCAAGAGAGCTTATGAGGTTGCTTGGAGCTTTCTGCTTTAGAGACATTTTTCCATGGTTAGGATGGCTGGACATTGTCTTTGGCTTGGTTAGGAGGATGAAGAAGGTTTCAAGAGAGCTA